GAGGGGAAGAGGAGGGGCAGGCACTGATCTCTGTGGTGACCAGTGACAGGACCCGAGGGAATGGCCTGAAGGGGAGGCTTAGGTTGGATATTAGAAAAAGGTTCTTCACCCAGAAGGTGGTTGGATACTGGAACAGACTTCCTAGGGAAGTGGTCACAGCACCAAGCCTGATAGAGTTCAAGAATCATTTGATGATACTCTCAGGCACATGGTGTGTCTCTTGGGGTTGGTCCTGTGCAGGGCCAAGAGTTGGACTCGATGATCCTTGTGGGTCCCTTCCAACTCAGAATATTCTGTGATTCTGTGCTTCTCTGCTTGCCTGCCTTCACTGTGAGCCAAAATCACAGAGCTGAGCCAAAGCGGGATTAAGACATGAATCTTTGTTCTCTAGAGTGGAGGAAAATCACAATATCACTAAGGTTTACAGGGTTCTATGAATGGGACAAGGAGAGAGGATGGGCTTTTACTATGCCGGGGTTGATTTTAACTTCAGCAGTATCAAATCTTCCAATGTGCAGAAAAGTAATGTATTTTTCCTATTTTCTTCACTTTGTGCCAGTCTTTCCCATTCACTGCTTATAATAGGACCACACACAGGACTGAAGACACTGCAAATCTAATTGCAATCTGGATTTAATTTAGGGTGAAGTAAAAAATCATGGAGGGTGCAGCTGAACAGGCTTTCTCCAGCACAGTTTAACAAGATGCTTTGCTTGAATACTGATGTGCTATTGATGCCTATTCTTCCTGAAAACCTTTTAAGTAATTTTTTAAATTAGTGAGAGTTAATGGCCCTTGACACAATTTTTAGTGTGCTAGAAAATAAAAAAGAAACAAAAAAAGAAATTAAAAATTGACCATAAACAATGACAATTGCATATAGGTTTGCAATGTGAAGATGACAGACATGATTACAAGCATTTGACTATCAGTTTATTTAGAAATTATCAGTTTGAGCTTATTTTTCCTGAGATCTCATTTATCACTGAAATGGTTGCTAGGATGCTATGCTTTGAAATTTGAAACTTTCTCCAGAAAAAGAGCAATTGTGAAGAGGTTTTCTAAACATATTTTCTTTTTGGCAGCCTCTCTATAGTGAAGTTATTGATGCTAAATCGTTTTCTTACATCAAGATCTGATCTTGGAAGCAGTTATACCTAGTCTTAGTTTTATTCAGAATTGTGGAATGATTTATGTTAGATCTCCGAGTGAAGTTAATCATGCATAAACTGGATCTATTCAGCTAGCCTTAAATTCCTGTTAACTTTCTGTGCCTAGTATTTTCTCCTTGCTCCTGGCAATTATATGTCCAGGTCACTACTTAGACCATGGAAATAATTTTTCAGTGGTCACTAGTTTTCACTACTGAGCAAACATGGAGACTCATGTAAAATGGAAGCTCTGTGTGTATGAGCCACGTTGCTTAATACCCTAGTGAGATGATGAATGATGAGCATTACGTGCCTGCATGCCACCTTGGCTAAGTCCTTTCAAATCCCAGTCCCTGGCAATTTTTAGCAAGTCTTGTGACTTTCCTCTCACCTTTTCTGTGTCAGGGTAGCTTTAAACACTTACAGTCTATTCCACATGATGCAGATGGAACTGAGTTTCTGGCTGCAAGCACTGGAGATCACTCTTGACAGTCATGGCTTGCTGGTTTTGGCAGAAGCGATCTCTGCACGACTTTGCCTCGTGCCAGGCAGGACAGCAGCTGCCTGCTGTACAGAGCAGCCAGGCAAGCAGTCCTGAGTGAGGGGGAGGAGTAGGAAGAGGTAAGCAGGCTAGAGAGCTCGATGCAATGGGAACAGCCACTGTAAAGAAGAGGTATGGGAATCCCAAATAGGAAATCAATACTAAATTTGTTGTCTGTGTCAGAAGGAGGATATTTATACCTTTCTGCTAAGAATTCTGAAATATGCACATATACCTGTGAGTATAAATACTTAGCTGGATACTTCTGATCTTGCCCATAATTATTTGAATATTATGCACTGAAGAATCTTTCTTGTGAATTTGAGTCAGAGGATGCCTGTCTCTTTATCCACTTATATTCTGTACCTAAATGACTAGTCAATGCCAGGGGAATTAGTCCCCATATGCAATAGTTCTGACTTAATTTCCTGAAGTGTCGGAATGGGACCAGATGACAGTAGACGTGTAAGCCCAGAGCTATAGTGGAATCCTGATTCAAAAGATAACAGGAATCACATTCATTGCACTCTAGCTGTGATTGAGAAAAGGATTTACAGCTTCAGAAATGTGCATTACATGCTGTTGTCATGAAAAGAAACCACAAAACATAGAGAAAAATCCAGCTCATTCCTTGGAACAGCTGGGAAAAGCAGATGGACAGAAGGCTGATTCCCAGGAGTATACAGGAGGCAGAGTAAGCCACCTACCCTCTGCTGATATCCCTGCTCTCTGCTGATATTGCTTCATCTGTTACCCACTTGTCCTGAAGACTTGGGAGCCATGAGTGATTTTGGGGTTGCAGGAAGGCTGAATTGGCTCTCAGACACTGCTGCAAATGTGAGGATAAAGACCCTACCTAAGCGCTTGAAAGAGGAAAACTATGTTGGGCTGGAGGGAGAGCAGGATTACTTGCTGTGCTGAAGGCAACTGAGGGAGCAGAAGGTGAAGACAGAGAGGATTACTTTGTTCTAGTGTGGGATTCTCCAAGGGGGTATGATCTCCACATCATGAAGTGGCCATTAATCCAAATCTTTATAAACTGGTTTTCATCAAGTCTTCAAGCAATAGCACAAAAAGCCCTCATAAAATACCCTCACTAAGAGTTTGGGAGAAGTTGACAACCATGCAAATGCCACCCACACAGCTGGTGGTTGTGGGCCTAGAAATCAGGGCATGCCAAAAAAACACATCTTACAACAATAAACCAACTCTCTGTGCTGCCCTCTTGTGCTGATGGAGTTACTGTGGCTCCCAGGCTGGCTGGCGGTAGTGCCTCTGCTATCCTCCTTTGAGTGTACCAGCTCACTGAGTACCCCTCTCCATTGGATGGCGGAGATCTACCCCACAGAGAGCTGCAGGGTATACCCATGGTTTTCCGACGCCTGCTAGACAGATCTATTGGCTTGCTAGAGGCTTTGCAGCACAGTCTGGCTAGAGCAGGGCCTGAGGATGTGAACTGCTGTGCTGGGAAGGACAGAGCATGAGCAGCATGTCTCTGGAGAGCAGAGATGGGAGTTCCTCTGTGGCTGGCAAGCATCTATCATGGGAGGGTACAGACAACTGGAGTACTCTTTTCCTGCTCAGAATAACCCAGGAGTCTCATTTAGAAAACTACAGCCCCAGACAGAAACAAATTGCAGAACTGGGCAATCACCAACTACAGGAAGTTCAACAAGAAGGGGAAGTGCCAGATTCTGCACCTGGGATGGGGCAATCCTGGGTGTATGTACAGAATGGAGAATGAGATGCTGGAAAGCAGTGCCATGGAAAGGGACTCGGGGGTCCTGGTCGACGGCAAGTTGAATATGAGTCAGCAGTGCCCTGGCAGCCAGGAGGGCCAACCGTGCCCTGGGGGGCATCAGGCAAAGTATCGCCAGCTGGTCAAGGGAGGGGATTGTCTCGCTCTGCTCTGCACTGGTGTGGCCTCACCTTGAATATTGTGCGTAGTTTTGGGCACCACAATATAAGAAAGACATTAAGCTATTAGAGGATGTCCAAAGGAACGCAACGAAGACGAAGGTCCTTGAGGGGAAGCCATATGAGGAGCAGTTGAGCTCATTTAGTCTATTCATCCTGGAGAAGAGACCTCATGGCAGCCTACAACTTCCTCGTTGTAGGGAAGAGGAGGGGCAGACTGTGGTGACCAGTGACAAACCCAAGGGAATGGCCTGAAATTGTGTCAGGGAAGGTTTCAGTTAGATATTAGAAAGAGGTTCTTCGCCCAGAGGGTGGTCAGATCCTCAGGTTCCCAGAGCCTGACAGAGTTCAAGAAGTGTATGGATGATACTCTCAGGAACATGATGTGACTCTTGGGGATAGTCCTGTGCAAGGCTAAGGGTTGGACATGATGATATTTGTGGGTTTCTTCCAACTCAGCATGTTCTGTGATTCTGTAAAATGCAGTGCATGTGACAGCTGAGGTCCTGAGCTAGGTGTTCTCTTTGTGTGCAAATTGATAGGTTTCATTTGGAAAAAGAAAAGGATTTAAAAGCTAAACAAAACCCAGCACTTCAAACAATATATACCCTTCCTTGCTGTGTATAGGCCTCTAACTTGCTAACGCTGCTGCAGCTGTTAAACTGTATTGATTGCCTCAAAGCTACTGTAACAACACTCATTTCTTATATATAAGGCAGTGTAGGAAGAACTTTCTTTACAAAAATAGTTAACTAAGGATGAAAGATAAAATAGATGACTTGTAAACAGATATTTTTAGTTAAAATAACTTGATTATACTAGAAGTTTTGGTCTATAAAGATAATAGAGTTTGTCAACTGTTCCCATCTGTCTTGTCCCTGTCCTGTGTCAGCAGGGGGAAGTAGTAACTAAGACCTTCTGTGGCTTAGATACTAAATGCTTTCATTGGAGTATTTTTGTCCGCCCTCCTTTCTTTCCCTCTTTGACATCACTAAGAAGTTTTATTTATACACTGTAATGAAATATTATATCTGCTACGGAAAATTACTGACAACTGCTTTGTCAGTGACACTTACGTACAAGTAAATTTGCTTATTTTATAACATTTTTTGTTAGTCTGGATTAAAATTTTGCAGGAGCTGCTCCCTGCAAGATATTACTATTGTTTCAATTAGGCTAATCACTGTAACAGGAGTTTTCTAAAAATTGCAGTGATGGTGGCTTCCAGGCATGCAGCATGAGCGAGGACACCTCTTGTTCCTCATCCAGGCTTCAGACTGCATCTCCAAGCCCTGTGCCTGCTCCTAGCAGAGCCAGTTTAGCCCCGCCCACTGAGCAGTCCAGCCTTTATTTATATGAAGTCTGTGGTCCAACTGGCTTCAGATGGCGTGTGTATGTGCGTGTGCCTGCCTCCTGAGTGTGTGAGACGAGCTGGGATCATGAGCCAGGGTTGTTACAAGTGGTTTTAATCAGCAGTCCATTAGAGGAGAACGGAAAACTTCAAACAGATTAAGAACCAAGTAAGTAAACCTAACTTTGAACTTGAAATCTGGACAAAACAAATGCAAATGAAATCTTCAGAGTCTGTCAGTTTTCAGATAAATTATCACTTTTAGAGAGAAAGCTGTGCATGCTGACAGGAAGGAGGAAATTTAAAAGGAATGGAATGAAGGAAACTGTAAAAACAAAATGGGAATTGAGAATGCAAGAGAGAAAAAACAGCAAATGAGTGTTCGCAAAGTTGGTACACTCTCTGACTTTTTTCAGTTGTGGGCAGGACATGTTAAGCTTTAACCTCTTGCTTTCTTGGATACCATTGTCTGGCTGAGTAGTTCCTTCTGCAAAAGGGGTGAAGATTTCTGCTCCTCACCTGTCTGCTGGCAGGTCTCTTCTCCCAAGAGCACAATATTGAAAAGCTTACCACGGAAAAGCTTGCAGGATGCCCCATGACATGCTGCTGTTTGCTGCTGCTCAGTTGTTGTTTTTTCACAGGTTGTTCCAGTAGCCCCGTGGGAAGGTGCTCCCCAAGCCTCTGCTCCTCTGGAACCCGTGACTTCTTGCCTGACACCAGGAAAACAGCAGCAGAAATGGGAAAACTCATGCTAGTTTTGGGTAAAGTGTACCTTTAACTTTTTTTACTGTGGCAAGACGTGGCTACTTGGACTGCATCTGGAATGTGGCAAAGGTTGAAGTGAGGACGGCAAAGAGGCCATGGTTTGTGGGCAAGTCCCCAGGTGCCGCAGGCTTTGTCGCCCTCGTCCCTTTCTTCTGGCCACAGTGGTGGCCATCTGTCTGTTCTGCCAGACCCTGACTCCTCTCATGACCAGCAGCATCCTTTCAGCAGTTGTTAATGGAATTACATCCAACAAACTGACCAAAACACAGCAAGGAAGGTACAAGGAGGTCTCTCCAAGCACCACTAACTGCTTTCTCCCTGGCAGTAACTCACAGACACTGAAAAAGGTAAGTCAGCTGGAGCAGAGTGCTGAGCAATAATTAGCAAAGCAAGGGATAGCAAGTCTGGCAGGATCATCTGAGTCCAGCTAAAATTAGCCTAAGCTTGAAAGTCTGGGCTCTGTATACAAACAAATGGATGATCTAATGACAGCAGCATATGTGCAAGCACATTCCTATTACCAGCTCCTCAGAGTGCTGTTATTAACATAGGAATCCTAAAATCTTCAACTGAAACATGGCATTGCTCTGTGACTCCAGCGAGATTTCAGTTTGCTGCACAGACCATACTTTATTTTGGCTTTGGGAGTTGGTTTAGAGGCTTTACAGTACAGGCACATAAATCAGGAGCCAGGAGGGTTTCATGAAAGTGGCCGAGGTTGTTAATTGGCACCAAGACTGCAGCTGCCCTGTGTTAAAGTTATCTGCTCGTCAGCTTTGAACTTTACTGGGATTCTGCTGAGAAGCTGAATTTCACTGCGTTTGAGAAATAAAAGAAACAGTTTTCATATTTTCAAATCACACTATATACTTTGGAATCTTTGTCTCATAAATTTTACCTTGTCCTTAGGTTACCTGACCTCATGTTTATTTTGTATAGGTTTCCTAAGGATGGGTGTTAAAATCTACCAAATTCAAACACTGTTATTTTTGTTGGAAAATGTAGATTGTTAAATGGTCCAGATTTGGGTAGTTATTTATGCTCTGGAATCTGTGATCGGCACTAGCACAAATGTTTCAGGTTTTCTTTAGTTGTATAGGAGAGCTGCTAATAGTGCAGCAGACATCAAACTATGAAATTATCATTATGCTATCATTTTATATACAACTGTAGCAGGACTATAAACAACTTGTTAACTCACAGATTATGGACAGCATCCACATAAAGCAGTTCAAATTAAAAAAAAAAGTACAAGGCTGCTTGTTTGATTAGACAAAGTTCACAGTCTAAAAGGTCAGCAATATTGATTTTAGGAGAGTGGTTGTAAAGTGCACCTTCTGCAACAATCAAAAACAGATATGTGAAATAACTGTGGCATGAACTCTTAAATTTTTTAACTTTATTTTTTTTCTTGAGAAGATCAGAGTATTATCTTATGAGTTGCAGAAATCTACTGTATGCTGCATTGTCATCATTTTATATTTTAATGACATTTTAGTACACTAGATACCCAGGTTCAGATTTGTTCAGCAATGAGACATGAATAATTACAATTTAAAGGGAAATAAGCACAGCTGACTTATGTGGGTTGCATTGTGTGGGTTACATCTTTTGACACTTACAGTCCATTCCTTTTTACCCATTGCTATTGTAATGGCAAAGAACATTTCATACCTTGCCTTTGGCTACTTAAAATCTATAAGAACTGGTGAAATAATGGCAAAGTTTTGCTAGTATGCTGTTTGGCTGAAAATATCTGTAATACCTTCTTTAACAATGTGCCTGAGAAAAAATGGAGATTGACGTGGAATTTGGCGTTCTGGCTGTTTGAAATGAGAAGGAAGCTTTTGTTTTTACAACATGCTGTACTTACTGCTCTCCAGCATACGTGGTTGGATGTGACTATCACATGCACATGCTGAACTTATAGTACAGATGTAAGTGCGTATGTTAACTCTTATAGGTATGTTTTCCAGGGCTGTGCTACCCTAACACATTCCTCTTCAAGTTCTAAAGACCACCCATAGCTAGCTCCCTATTTGTCTTGAACGTTTCCTCTAGAGCATGATGAACAAAATGTCTTGCACATGTTGGGATGTTACTCTGAGCTGCTCTCTGTTTCCAGAGAATGCTGGTTGTGTGGGCTGAATAATAATCTCAGAGAACAGCAAAGACAAACATCTCCAAAAACCTCTACCACTTTGCTCTGAAAGTGTGTTCTTGAACTGTGCATTTTCGCCCACTGCTTATTCAGATAGCTGAACTATTATCTGGCTTGATTTTATTGGGTGCTCAGTAACATCTAAGATAGATGTCATGGTTGAAACTTTACACTGTTTCATTTTACAGTCACGTGCCACCAATGGTAGCTAGTTTGGAATCAACTTTTCGTTAAAGCTCTGGTTAAAATCTTCTTGTATGAATCTGGAAAATTACTTTAGAATATAGTTATTCACATTTGTAATTAACTAGTCACACAGGTATTCTTATTCTATAATTAGTCCAGCCAGCAAATTTAAATTCAATAAAAAAATATCGTGCAGTTAAACAGTGACTTAAAGCAAACACTGCAACATCTTATGAAATCAAAGTTCATGAAAAAATTTTGAGGAAAATAAGATCCTGCTGGAGATAATATTCTTTAGGTAATACACACTGTTTATGGGGTTTGAGCCATTGCATGGGTCACACTGCAGATTGTCGTCTGACTGGGCAGGGGCAGGTTTCATTCTTGCTTCCTTCAGAGAAAAAAATCAGTATTGTGTTGAGCTTGCTGTAAGAATTTGGTTCTGATTGTTATTGCATAAGCAAAATCCCCCTACAAAGGCTAATTTCTTCATTCAGAGTATGCATAACACTAAGTGCCTCAAAAAAACCCGCAACCCAAACAAACAAACAAAAACCCAAGAAACCCTGGCACCTTTCATGAGCCATTTGTTGGAGGTGAAGGGAGAGATCTGAGGAAAAGTGCAGCTTTGCCAGTGCAGCTCTGATATCAACACTAACCTCATTTTGGAAGGGAGAGTTCCATACAAGTCTGGAAGAAGCATGGGGTCAGACATTGCCAATTTGATCTGTAAATGTGTCTTTACATCCAAGATGCTCTGAGATGGAGCCCTTCCTGTCAGGCACATAGTGCAAGCTGCCTTTTTTTAAATTGCAAAAATGCAGATTTCATTCATAGGCTGAAAAACCAGTCAGAGCTCACAGTACTCCTCTCTCGGGTATCACACATTACAGGAGTTTTAAAAGCAGCTGAGGATCATATCCTGTAGCTTTAAATTCACAGGAACAGAGGTCAACATTTTCTAGTACAACATTAAATGTTAATATCTCTAGCATGAAAAATACAAGGCTTATTTCTGAATCTCCAGTATTAAAGGCATTAGAGAGTGATATCACATTTAGCAGCAGGCTGTCTGCAGATTTAGCAGGGCACTCTTACCTCTCCTGCATTATGAAATATTTGTGAATCTATATAGTGAAGAGCTGGTGCTACAGCATTGAAGCTGGAATAGGTATCAACAAAAAAAAAAAAGCCTATACAAGCCCTGTGTATAGGTTTGCCTGGCAAGGTATTGTGCCAGAAATACTTTTGGTACCAGGCAGATGTAAAACTGTTACACTCATCATAAGTAATTTAGCTCTGCTTCTCCGCCATTTCTGAGAAGAGTTAATTAGCTGGTTAAGCTGTGTTTCCACTCTCTGAATTAATTCAACCAGAGCCAATTTAGATGTCTCTACACAGAGTGCATTTTGCTGAGGTAGTACCTCTTCTGGGAGGAAGGAATATGAACTATATTGCCTTCTAGGAGGGCAGATACCTGAGGTTCAGTTGCTTTCCCAGTCAGAGAAGATTCAAAAGCACTTTTCCTGGTTTCTTAAAAGACCCAGTTCCCAAGCCATTAAGCTTTATATCCATGTTGGAATTGGAAGCCTGGTACACCATATTGGCAGTGGGAATTTTTGTTGGTCCTGGAAAGCAAAATTCTCTCTTTTCTTTCTTTCTTCCACAGCTGGAGAGAAAGGAGAAGGAAATGGTTAATCACCTTTTACAGTTATTGCTTCTGTGATAGGCACTTTTTCAGCCTATTACCTCTCCGGCCATGGCCAATATATTAAAAAAAAAAAAATCAGATTTTTAAACTTTAGGATGGATCTTGAAGGATATTATTTCATGCATGCTCACAAGGCCCTTGCTTCACATGCCCTGGACATTTAAGGCTAGCTGAAAAAAAGAAAACAAACAAGATATGCAGCTGATCATGTGAGAATTTGATGAGTGGGTGAGGCTGGCATCCTAATAAATGAAATATAACAGTATGGTGAAAAAAATCTGTCCTCCTTTCAAGGCCCTTAACCTAAGTTAAGCTCCTCTCAAAGAGGAGCTATAATAAAGTGAGCAAAGAGGAAGGATGAGAAAAGGCTTTTTATGGCTTCACTCTGAAGGGATAGGATAGGATAGGATAGGATAGGATATCCTTTAATAGGAGTGAACAGGATGAAAGATCCAAGATAATGAAAGTTTGATGTGGTCACACCTCCAAAATATTATGTAGAAAATGAAAAGAAAAACAAAAGGGAAAAAAAAAGGAGAAATATCATGGTTTACTCTTAACCAAGAGCTAGAGGAAGATGCAGTTGAACATCTTGCATAGGTTACTGGCCCAGGAATCTATATTTGAAAATTAGGAGTGAAATTACCGAAAAGCTGAGAAATTTTTACTATAACTGTAGAACTCTGAACACCCAGAATGAAATTATTCCCTCTTTATTTGTGTGCTCCACTCTATCTTCTCAGAGGCAAAAAGATGGACTTCACAGTCAATGCAAATGACTGTCTCTAATGCAAAATTCATCATGAATTAATGCAGACATGTAATACAAATCTGGTGAACTTCACACTCTAAAGGTATATGTCTTTTTTCTATTGATTTCTTTCGATGGAATATACATGCAGAATAAGCAGAGAACAAAGGAGGTAGGAGGGGAGTGTGTCATGGAGGAAGGCATGGGGAAAGGAAGCAGATGTAGGAGGAGAATAAGGAACTACAGCTGCAAAGAAATAGTCTCCTCAGAACGCACTGAAGAGATTGTACACAGAGAGGGCTGGATTGTGCAAGGGAAGAGAAAGGGAGATGACAATGGAAATGGAAAGAAGAGAAAACAAAGCCAATGGAAACTTTTGAAATGTAAATATGTGAAAAAGGAGAATTGAAGCTCGATGATAGAATGAGAAGGAATGATTTTCACTATTATGCAGAAATGGAGCATGGTGAGAGCTCTGAATAGAAAAGATTACATTATGCATAACAAGGTTTGATACATTTTTAAACTAAATTTAATC